CTTTGGGGCCAGACACCTGTCATAGGAGGAGGGAAGACAGGTCCGCGTGACTTCCTTCTTATACCAAGGGACCATGATCCGTCGCTATCGTGTTCTATGTCTCGTGCGTGCCTTTCCCGCTCTACTCCCTTTGGTACACTCGACGCTGACTGGACGAAACTGGGAGAGTTGCGTCTTAGTTGACCTCAAATAGAGATTGCCTTTGTGTGCGCGAAGACCTGGAGTGTACGTTGAGCTCGCTCAAGGGAGTCACTGTGTTATTGCTTTTGAGTTAAGGTTTGGAGAAAGCCTCTCTCAAAATGTTGATAATCAATGAAGAGGAAACACCACCACCTCCACAGCAAGGAAGGTGTGACTGTTTAGGGCAGTTTCTTTCCTTTAGAATTTTTATTTATTTTATGTGCATTAGTATTTTGCCATGTCTGTAACTCCAGATCCAGGGGACACAAAAACCCAAGGCAGTGTCTTTTTTAAGTTCAGGCTGACCTTGAACTTCTGATACTCCTGCTCGGTGTTCAGAATGCTTTACCGTTCTTTTCCCCCCAAATAAAACTCTAAGGGAAGAAATTAAGAACCAATTTGGAGCCAGGTGTGGCTCTGTTCACTTTTTTTTTTTTTTTTTTTTTGGTTTTTCGAGACAGGGTTTCTCTGTGGCTTTGGAGGCTGTCCTGGAACTCGCTCAGTAGACCAGGCTGGTCTCGAACTCACAGTGATCCGCCTGCCTCTGCCTCCTGAGTGCTGGGATTAAAGGCGTGCGCCACCAACGCCCGGCTGGATCTGTTCACTTTTAATGCCAGCACTCAGGAAGCAGAGGCAAGCATATTTCCACAATTTACTTTGTAAAACTCGATCTAACCTGTAAGGACTCAGGCATTATGCTTGCCCTGCCTCCATCACCTGGCAGAATGCACTCAGGCAGTGCCCTGGTCAGCCCAGGGGTCCACGGTTGCATAGTCTGCACGCAGGTGCAAAGGACCCTTTAAAAGATCCACGTACGCTGTCTTTTCCAGCTCTCTTTCCCTGCCTTCTGTCCTCTCTCTGTCTCTGTGTCCCTTTACTTATTTTTCTCTCTCACTCCCTCCCCTTTCTAATAAAACTTCTAATAGTAAGCTCTGTCTGCCTGGCATGTTGTCCCTCTGCCTCGGCCATCCTCGCCGGCCATGGAATCCACCAAGGTTCCCCTCCTAACCTAGCCTGTATCCCGCTCTTCAGTGATGCTTTTGCCTTTTCATTTCCTTCCGTGGGCTCCTGTGTCATGTAAGCCATGTTAAGTAGCTTTGCATGCTGTGTTTCATCTTAGGTAATTTAACTCTCAGGTTCAGTCAGAAGTCCCGGGGTGGGGGGTGGGGGTGGAAGAAATAACAGTTTTGTGTCCTCTACAGAGTGAAGTTTCCAGTGGGTTGATCATTTAACTGAGTGTTGTCAACAGCCAAATTAGCAACAGGATTATCTTTGTTTTGAACGTGGCAGAAATAGTAATAAAATGGATTTGGAGGACTGGGCGTGCTTGGTGTCCCAAGTCTGTCATCTCAATGTGGGAGGCTGAAAAGGAAGCCGGAGATGGTGAGTTGCACTTCAGCCTGGGTTACATTGTGAAGAACCTATTTCAGAAAACAGAACAAATACAAATAGCAAAATAGCCAAAGAACTGGCGCTGAGATATAAGATAAGGAGAAAGAAGAAAATTTTAAATCATATCAATTTATTTATTTATTTGTTTATTTATTTATTTGTAGGCAGGGTCTCTCTTTGTAGCCCTGGTTGTCATGGAACTCACTAGTAGAACAGGCTGGCTTCTGACTCACAGAGACCCTCTTGCCTCTGCTTCTGGAGTGCTGGGGAAGGTGTGGGCAGCCGTGCCCAGCCCAATAACAAGTTAAAGTGATGAGGTTGGTAAAAGTCCGGAGTTCAGTCCCTAGAGCCCACATTTTTGAAAAAGCCAGGCATAATGGCATGTGCATTTGTAACCCCAAAGTTGGGGGAGACAGAGACAAACAGATCCTGGGGCTCACTGGTCAACCAATCTAGGCTGCTTGGTGAGTGGCAGGTCAGGGAGAGGCCCTCGCTCAAAACATAAATGGACAGCTCACAAGAAAAAACAGCCAAGGCTGTCCTCTGGCCTCCACATTCACATGTGTGTATGTACACATACGTGTATCTGCACACACACGCACACAAAAGTAATTCTTAAAAAAGAATAAAACAAGGAGGTTGCGGTCTTAAATATTAAAATGTATTCTAACATGTTTGAAAGAGTGTTTGGAACTTTCTGGATGACACACAGGTGGTATCTGTCCAGCGTGGGGGGTGGGGGCGCGGTGGCTTCGCTTTCAGCTTCCATGGCGCCGGTGAAGCCCTCAGACTGAACTCTCCTATCCACCTTGCCCATTCCCTCCAACACACCTGGGCGGGAGACAGGAAGGCAGTATAGACATTCGCCATTGTCCGAATCGAGCTGGTCCAGGTCCTAGCACAGCATTTATTATTATTTTTCCACTAGTTATCATGGCTCTCAGCATTTGTCTTACCTGGGTACTCTTTATTCCAAATCCAAACCGTGGATTTAGGGGACAAGGAACAACTAGAATCAAATTTGCCTAAGGGCTAGAAGTATAGCTGGTTGATGGAGTGCCTGCCTAGCATACATCCCCATAGCCTCATAAACAACATGGCGGCACAGACTAGCGCTTGAGAGGTGACTGCAGGAGGCTGAGGCCATCCCAGGATGCATGAGGCCCTGTCTCAAACAAACAAACAAACAAACAAACAGGCAAAACCCTTTAGCAAAAGGTTGCAGTGGTGGAAACTGATTTCAATGTTTCTTGGGGGTGTTGGTGACAGGACCTCTTACCCATCTCTACAACCCTTACCATTCCCACAGATGGAGAGTGAGGCCCCTTCCAGAAGACAATAGGTAGTCCAGCCATGTGGTTGGTCCTTTTCCCTCCACCACTGTCTTCCTCAGGCCCTGAGCTACAATCCCACAGCAGGCAGTGGCTGCCCTGTGTCTCTGTGGATTTGCTTTAGGAGAAAATAGAGTGTTTGAAGCGAAAGCACACCACAGTGTGTCTCTTTCTTCCTTACAGAGGCTTCTTTCTGTGTTACCGCACACTGGGTACTTAAAGCAAGTAGCTTTTTGTCTCAACCGGGAGCCTGATGGACCTGAGGTAGGCTTTTAATCTTTCCCTGCCTCTGGCTCTGGAGTGGCAGCCCTTGTCTTGGATGGCAGGGGCTCGGGACACACACACACACACACACACACACACACCAAAGATGTACATCCAGTGGGGTTTGGCATGTTGACCCTGGCGACTGAGACAAATCAGTCAGTGCTGCGGATGAAGCTGCTGATTTTAATACTGCAGCAGGAAGTGAAGTGCGGGCTCTTACATTTCCGCGAGGATACAGGGGCCGGAGCTCAGAGCCCGTCCGGCTCTTGATGGTCCTCAGGCTGGCCCAGGTTTCTTGCTGGGAGTGGGAGAGCTGGGGGGCTTGCAGGGGCCTATCATCCCCCTGCCCCCAGCACCCCTCCCCCGCCTGCTGCAATGCACCATTGATTTAGTGAAGACGTCATCCGCACCCCCTTCTGAGAGCTGCTGGCTGCTCTGCTCTGACAATTACTCCGGCTGCTGCAGAGAAGCACTCATATCCACCGACATATGGCTTTTTAAAGTGATAAATTGCATTAGCAAATTTCTTATTAGCTCTGCTGTCAGGAGGGAGCTCCTGCCACATTAGCTTGCTGAGTCTGATGGGTTTCCTGGCCATTAATTACCATGCCAAGGACTAAGGGGACTCAGGGGCTGGTGGGTGGATGGGTGGAGGTCCCCATTCTCCAACCCCATTCCCATCCTCCCTCCCTTTGCCGGTGAAAGATCTAGAATGACAGGCTTGGTGAGCCTTGAGTTATCTCAAGTTCTGGTTTTTCAATGGGCCTGGCCTTGGACTCCTGATCTCTGTGGGTGGGGCACAGGATGCCCGGAGACCATCTGGGCTGCTTGGAGCTTGTTCTCCCTCAGGACCACTAGGATCTGGAAGTCTGATATCTGCACAACATCTCATTTGGAGCTGCATTTTCAAGGCAGAGGCTGGAATGGGGCCCAGAAAGGTGTTCTGGCCTCTCCTTGGGGTCAGCGTTTCTCAGGCATCCTCGCTCCCCGGCCGCTCCTCTCCGCTCTGCCCCAGACAACTTGAAGAGTCTCCTCCCTGAAGGTGACATCATGTCTTCTGCTTCAGTCCTCTCTTGGTGGCTATCCAGGGAACTGCACATTCTGGATGCTCAACCCAGATTTCCACAAACTCAGGTTTTTTCCCCCTCACACGAGAGTCGCATAAAATGCTCCCAAACTAACAAACACCTCAAGGGTCTCTGCTCCCGTGATAACCGGACAAAAGAAATGGTTTCTCTCTGATCATGGTCATCAGGAAGAATGCACAGCTGATCTCTGGGAAGCCACCCTGCCACAGGCCGCCAGACAGAGCTGCACCGGTTCCTCAGCCATCTAAGGCTGCCTGGGCAGAGGTCCCTAGACACGATCTCACAGAAGCAAAAGCAGAGAAATAGGGTGGCAGCTTTGAGGACGTTGCCAGCCAGGTCTACCTCACCTCCTCATTCTGAGGAGCTGCGCCTGGAGGCTCCTGCAGTCACACTTTTATGTCCCCACGTGCTCCGGCTGAAAGGGGAGGTGGGAGGGAGACGGAGGGAGGGGCAGAGGCAGAACGAGAAAGCTCAGCAGTGGGAAGATGTGGAGGGGGAGGGGGCGGGGCGGAGGGTGGAGAGCTCTGAATTCCTCATTATGCAGCTCAAGCCTGCCTGGGAGAAATCTGAAGAATCTGATGATGGAGTTGCACACATGTGGCCTCAGACCCCATGCTATCTTGAATCTTAAATTGAAGTCATTTCTAATCTAAAATCAGAGGAGCACTCTCTCCTCTTGCCACTTCTCTGAAATCTAACCTTCACGACATGCCCAAAGGACAGAACCACGGATGGGTCCTTCACAACTTCAGGACTACTTTTATTATTTATTCTTCAGGTCTCCGGGTTGTCCCAATGACGACGTCTCTGCTGGATTTTTCTGAGGATTAGAAGGCATGGATCACCAACCCAGCTCCCAGCTCCCTCCCTCTCCCTCTCCCCCTCTCCCCCCCTCCCTCCCTCCCTCCCTCCCTCCCTCCCTCCCTCCCTCCCTCCCTCTCTCCCTCCCTCTCTCTCTCTCTCTCTCTCTCTCTCTCTCTCTCTCTCTCTCTCTCTCTGAGCTTGAGGGGTGTGTCTAGACTTTTGCCCAGGGTTCAAAGGTAGCGTTTAGACCACAGCCCTTCTGCCCCACCCCCAGCCTCCTCTACCCTCTTGGTGGGTGCAGTGTGGGTCTAGTCTCCAGCTCCAGCTCTAGAATCACCTTCTAGGGCAGGCACCAGGTATCCCACCCCCTGCCTTCCCTTTCAGGGTGTTGGCCAGGGTCTAGCATCTCAACCTCAGCCCTAATGTTTGGTGCGTTGCCCAGGAAGCGTTTCCTGGGACTTAGAGTCTATACCTCAGCCCTCTTTGCTTTGCCAGCTCTGGGATCCGGAACCTGGGGGCGTATAAACCCCTTCCGTTCCTCTGGGAACAGAAGGGATGCTTTGTGCCTTCTACAAGATCCCTGCTGGAGTTGCTAGACACCAAGCTCGCTGAATGTTTCTTCCAGGACTAAGAACTGCACAGGGTCTCAGCCTCCATGGGTTTTCCAACCTTTCATAGCCCACCTGATCACCCAAACTCCGAGATTACTGCCCTCTCTGACCTCACTTACTCCAGAGCATGCAAGGAGCACAGCATCATCTCAGTGGCATCATCCATTCTGTGACTTCCTGAAGCCTGACTACTCTAGTGCAGCAAGGATCATTCTTTGTCCTGAAGCCTGAGAGTCAGGGTGAGATTGGAAATGGGGTGGAGTCATGTCTTCAGGAGTTTAGCTGGAGACCTCAGGAACTAGGAGTTGGCTGAAGGACATCAAAAGAAGCCTGATAGTGCATGCCTTTAATCCCAGCACACGGGAGGCAGAGAGGCAGGCAGATCTCTGTGAGTTTGACACCAGCCTGGTCTTTGGAGCAAGTTCCAGAATGGCCAGGAATGTTACATGGTGAAACCTTGTTTCAGAAACTCCCCCCCCCCAAAAAAAGAAGCTGGAAGAAAGGCTTTGGGGGCTGGGTGGGAGTTCATCATCACCATCACCATCATCATCATCATTCCTTGCATTTCTAGAGAATGAGACTGGGCCTGAGGCTGTAGATCTTCCTGACACCCCCACACCCCCATAGCCCTCTCTGCTCCTACAACCTTCCCCTATGTCTGCCTGCCTTCCCTAATCCTTCAGGTCTCTGCCCAAGCATCATCTCTTCCCTGAGGCCCTCCCCGATGGCTCTCCCTGATGATCCCCTGAAGGTCCTCTCCCCACAAACACAGCCCCCCTCCATGCCTGCCCTCCTCCATAGACCCTATGCTATCCACCACCACTATCCCAACCTCCATAGACCCCTATGCTATCCACCACCACTATCCCATCCTGTGTTGTTTTGTTGTCACAGTATCTGTCCCTGTTGGTAACGACCTCCAACGCTTCTGTATCTGTTTACGAGAGTCTTATCCGTCTCCTCCCCTACTCTCTCCTCACCGTTCCAGGACAGCGAGTTCTGTCCCCTTCCTTGCTGTCTCCTCAAGGCTCATGATGGCGCCTGGCTCACTGGAGAGATGTGCCATCAGTAGTTGTTACCGTGGTGTGGTATGATTAGGGTATGCGGAGGAAGCCGGAATCAGAGAGGCCAGTGAGGTAGACAGGTAGAGGTCACTGGACATCGCCCTTTTCATGACTGTTTAGAAACTTTCCAAAGCTAAGTGGCTAAAGTCTGTCTCTGGTATCACAGCATGCAGAGCCCCAAGTCCAGCTGCCCAGATCCCTTTATGCCTTCAGTGTCCTAGCCCCTCCAAGGGACCAAATATCCTCTGAGACCTGAGTTCTTTGGCATGCATCCTTTTGCACTTATTTCAGCTGGGAAGCCCTTGTACATGCAGTTCGGAACCGCCATCATCTTGGTATCCCGTCTGCTGGAAGCAGAATGAGCTCACAGACCCAATCAAAAGCAAGTGCTCATTGGGTGTGTGACAGCAGCCTCCCTTTCCTCTCTGTCTGGGACTTGGTGAGCACAGGGCATCTCTACCCTGAAGTTCAAACCCAGGCTCCATCAACCCCTGGTCTCCACGGCACTCTGAGGTTCCCACAGTTGGAGACTCGTTAGTATGTTTTCCCAAGTTGTCTCACAGGGCGCAAACACCCATGGTTGCTTTGTACTTAACATTGCTCTTAAGGTTGCCACTTAATAGGTGTGACCAGCGTGTCTGCTGAGTAACTGGAATGGAGTGGTTCGGTGCCTATCAGCGCCTATGAGACAATGGATCTGGCCCGGTTGCAGGGGAGGATTTGTTTATCTTCTCCGGTCCAGAGCACAAAGACAGGCTGACCTCGCTAGGAAAAGGAGGTCCAAGAAAACAGGTGGGGGACAGGGACAGATTAACCATCTGGGGTTACTGGCCATGAAACCAGAACCCACATCCTGAACACCCCCCACCCCAGATCCAATTTTCCATCAATGAAATATTCAGTGGCTCTGCAGCTCTATCAGCTCTCTCTGCAAGGGAGTCTCTCGATCATGATCATCCCAGCTCAGGCCGCCCGGGCCAGGTCTCATGCCATCCTACTCTAAGAGCACAATGTGTGGACTCCCTTTCCTCCCCACTAGACATCCCCGACTCTGAGGCCCCAGTGCTAACCTGCACAGCACATCCACGCTGGACAGTTGCAGCGAGGAGGGACCCAGCCTTGATCACATGGGATGAAGAATCTTGACATGAGGCAGAGCTCGCTTTCCCCTGTGACGACCAGAGCTGTGTCTGGGGTCCGTAGTGGAAAGGAGAAATGGGGACTGCCAATGAGAACCCACAGGGAGGGTGTGTGCTTGGTGGTTTTGTAATTTCAGCATGCGGGAGGCTAAGGCAGGAGGATCTCTAGTTCCAGGGGTGAACTGAAGGTTCCGGAAAACAGCAACAACAAACAAACAAAAATCACAAACACAAGGTCAGAGATTCTACAAGGTTGACTGACTGATTACTGATTATGATTATGGTTAATTATCAATTAAGAAGAGTTGGAGTGCTGCAGATTCAACGCCACTCATCTCTGTGGTTGACCACTAGCTTCTGCGAACCCCAAAGCAAAGAATTAGATGCTTAATGTTTAAAACCTACAGCAGAGTCGTACCCGCCCCCCAGCTTTGCTGTAACATGCCCATCAGACATAGCCACCAATCTTTAGAAAATGCCTTGGTTTATAACTTCCTTTTGTTCTGTGACTATAAAAGGTTGTGTAACTGCTTCCCCATTGGTACATGTTATTCAGAATAATCTAGATCCTGAGTTCCTGGGTCATGTGATGAGCCACCCTGTCTCCATCCTATGCTTAAAAGCCATCTTACTGTAAAGACAAACTAGGTTCATTCCTGTTTATTATCAAATTTGTTTCCCAAGGATTGGGCTGTGCCCCACCTGTAACCTTAACTACAAATGGTTCTGTACTGCCTGTTCCAGGGAATGTCTATCGTGTCTTTGTTTCAAAAGTTGTAATGACCACCTTGTAACCCTATCTTTGTTTCAGGAGGTTACTATGACTAACCTGTTATGCTTATGTTCTGCTCCTGCAACCTTGCCTATTTTGCCTGCCAAATCCCCCACTTGGAAACCCCTGAGCTATATAAACCTGTCTTCCTCATGTCCAATGTTGAACTCTCAAACCCCACCTTAGGGGGAGGCAACCCACACACTCAAATAGAAAATCTTCTTTAATTCACCTGGCCATGATTTGGGTTGGTGGCCTTCCTCCTCGGGTCTTTGGGATTAGCACATGATCACTAACACATGACTTAAACTATCTCTTACTTCTTTAGCAAGGGGGGGGGAGGAAAGAACCAGCAAGGGTAATTTCAGAGCCCGGCCGCATGTCCTGACCTCTAAAGTCTTTCTGTTTTAACCAAAGACCATTCTCCGGTCTTGTCTCTAGTCTAGATCATGGGCATGGCCGGAGAGTTTGAGGTCAAATACGCAGCGTCACGTGGCCAGTGTGTGTGTGTTGAAAATACCATAACTGGCAACAGTGAGCCAGGGTCTGGACAAGGGGCCCATGGGTCAACCCTGTGCAATGAATGCAGTAGAGTCTTGCTTTATACATCTGGAAATTAGTGCAATCCTTGAGAAACACATTTGATCATAAACAGGAATGAACCTAGTTTGTCTTTTCTGTAAGATGGCTTTTAAGCCTAGGAGGGAGGCAGGGTGGCTCATCACATGGCCCAGGAACCCAGGATCCAGATTATTCTGAATAACATGTACCAATGGGGGGAGTAAGTTAAGATAAAATCCAATTTCTTTTTTTTCCATATTTTTATTTAACTTTTTACACATGTCACTTTCAGTTCCCTCTCCCTCCCCTCTTCCCCCACCCCCCCAATCCTCCTAACCCCTCACCCCCACTCCATCCCTCCCCCACTCCCCAGGGAGGGCAAGGGCCTCCATGAGGGATTTTCAGAGTCTGTCACATCATCCTGGGAATGGTCCAGGTTCTTCCCCATGTGTCTAGGCTGAGAGAGCATCCCTCCACATGGCATGGGCTCCCAGAGTCCCTCTGTATGCCAGGAATAAATACTGCTCCACTATCTCAGGTCCCACAGATTGCCAAGGACTCCTCTCTGTCACTCAGGTTCAGTGGGAGGATGTCTGGATCAGTCCCATGCTGGCTCCCCAATCATCAGTCCGGGGTCCATGTGATGCCCCTTGTTTAGGCCCCTGTGGGCCTCGCCAGCCCGATCCCAATTCCCTTGGTCATCCCTCCTCTTTGCAAGTGGGTTCCAGGAGTTCAATTGGGTTCACAGTTGTGGGTGTCTGCCTCTGCTTCCATCAGCCACTGGCTGAGAGTTCTAGGATGGAATATAAGGCAGTCATCATTCTCACCATCATGGGAGGGCATTTAAGGTAGCCTTAATGCCAGTTGGTGTAGATCTGTGAAGATCTCACTAGTGCCAGATCTCTCCTCCCACTTATAATGGCTCCCTCTTTTATGGTATTTACCATCCGTTTCTCCTCTATTCTTACCCTGGCTCAATCTTCCTGCTCTCCCGTGTTGTCCTCTCTCCTCCTCTTCTCTACCTCTCTTTCTCCCATCTCCTTCTGCCCTCCCCTTCTCTCCCTCCCCAATCTAATTAGGAGATCGCATTCTATAACCTTCTCCAGGTTATCATGCATATCTCTCTTAGGGTCCTCCCTGCACCCCAGACTCTTTGGCGGTGGGATCGTGGGATGGCAATGCCCTGCTCCATGTCTAAAATCCATATATGAGTGAGTACATACCATGTTTGTCTTTTTGTGACTGGGTTACCTCACTCAGGATGGTTTCTTCTGTGCCATCCATTTGCCTTCAAATTTCAAGATTCCATTTTTTTTTCTGCTGAGTAGTACTCCATTATGTAAATATACCTCATTTTCTCTATCCACTCTTCAGTTGAAGGGCATCTAGGTTCTTTCCAGGTTCTGGCTATTACAAATAATGCTGCTATGAACATAGTTGAGCAGATGTCCTTATTGTATGAGGGTACATCTTTTGGATATATGCCTAAGAGTGAAAATCCAATTTCTGTACACACTATTCAGATGACTTAAATCAAGTGGTTCACACATAGTGATACTGCCTGACACTATTAACCTGATAGTGTTGTATAGACCTGCAGGTGTTGACCTGATAGTGTTGTGTAGACCTGGAAGTGTTGTGTAGACCTACAGGTGTCAGTCTGATAGTATTGTGTAGACCGTGGGCAGATGATTTAGATTTAGGGTTCTGCAGATGGGGCTTTGGATCTGAGCTTTGTTGTGAATTCAGGTGAATAACCACAAGCCACACTACAACCTTCCTGAATATTTCGCATTGGTACATGAATGTTGACTATATGACTATGTCCACATAACACGTTCATTTTTTGAGGATGTTTTATATGATAATCACAATGCCAAGCATCATTTCCTCTTCCCTTCCTCCTTCCCTCCCTCCCTCCCTTCCTCTCTTACTCAGGGCCATTGGGTTATGTCCCCAGGACCCAAGCATTTTCTTTTGAATGCCACTATTTAGTACCATAACTACTCTAGGAGGAAGACGCTATTATTCCATTTTGCAGTTGAGTAAACAGACTTAATAGAGAAATTAAGTAATTTGCTATAAAACATTTGCTAAAGGAAGATTGGAGATCCAACCTCAGAGTTTCTAAGCACACTGAGAGTCTACGTTCATATCAGTGGGGAGAAAAAAACCCATCTCCCTTGGGAGTCTGATGAATAAACCAAGGTAGTCTACAGAGCAGAGTCTCGCAAAGTCTACTACAGTCTTTTCCAAAGGAGAAGACTCCATCCTTGCCCCCAATCACTTTCAAAGTTGATCAACTTCATCAGTGAGCTTTACACGGTGATTAGGTCAGTGTGACCAACTGTGGGGCTAGCGATGCGATCCAACTCAGCATCACCAGTGGAAACACAGAAGTCTGTAATGTGCCGCTGTGGGTGAGGTGGGACATCACTTTTGTGGTACACTGTAAACCCCTCCTGGGAGGCCATGCCCTGCCCTGAGGATCTGTCAGGCCCCATCTCCTCAGGATACCCTAAGGGCCAGCCCCAGCCCCTGAGGACCTCCAACTACTGGGATCTGCCCACAGAACACTCCAAGGACCCTAATGGTTGGACCCAGGAGGCCAAGCTCTGCCCTACAGAACAAAAAGTCCAAGATCAGGCCACAAAATTCCACCAATCCCAAGCCTCTTAGAAAATGATTTATTTTAGAAAATGATTTATTTCTTTTCATTTTGTATGCATTGTTGTTTTGCCTGCATCTGAGTCTGTGTGAGGGGGGATCCCCTGGAACTGGAGTTACAGACAGTTGTGAGATGCTACATGGGTGCTGGGAATTGAACCCAGATCTTCTGGAAGAGCAGCCAGTGTTCTTAACCACTGAGCCATCTCTCCAGCCCCCTAGCTGTAGGTCCATCCACCCCGTGGGTTATTCCCTTCCCTCAGCCTAGGCAGAGGGACAGTCTAGCCAGCTTCTGCCGACAAACCCTGCTGACAAACATAATTCATTTACTTTTTTGCCGTTCATTTCTTTGCCTCGAATGTCTTCTTTTACTGGCTCTGTTGCAAATGGCTTGTTTGTGGAATGGCGAGCCTTTCCAGGGCCCTGTAGGGCACACGTTTCATGCAAAAACCTTTCCTGTTCCATCTGCAGCAGATCTGTTTTCTTGTCACTGGCAATTTTAAGTCTACTCTATCTCTTTAAATGTCCCGTCTGCCCCAGGGGAACCGTGGGGAAGGGAGGAGCAAGAAAGAAGAGTCGTATAGTTTGGTGTTTTGTACTTTGTCAGAGTTGGATTAGTAGTAGCTTATTAAAACTTTATTGGTTAATGTTAAGACTATGAACAGTAACACAATGAGAGAGAACGAAATCTGATAACTTGCCTTTGTACACCTTAAGTTACTTTGTTATACCTTAAAACAATTTTAGATCCTTACATCATAAGCTTTTATGTTCTTACATAAACTTTATTCCTTAAAACATCTTTTTAAAGCAAAGGAATGGTAAGAAGTTATACTGTAACCTATCAGCTGTCAAACTTCATCAGAGTTCTTGAGAACTCTGTTATGAAAAGCTTTTTAATAAAACATTTTAATGCTATAATCTCTAGATCTCTAAGCATTTGAGGGCTGTCTGTTTTTTTAGTATATCTTAGCAGACAAAATTTGTCTTTAGTTACTTGCCTTAAGCACATAGGTGACCAGGTAAGGCTTTACCCCTGTAATTAATTAATCTATACTTAGTATGGCTACAATGAC